CGTCAATAGGAGCCAATGTACATGTATATCCAACAGCACCACAGTAGCTTCAATAGGACCACCGTCAATAGGAGCCAATGTACATGTATATCCGACAGCACCAGAGTAGCTACCACGTCAATAGGAGCCAATGTACATGCATATCCGACAGCACCACAGTAGCTACCGTCAATAGGAGCCAATGTACATGTATATCCGACAGCACCACAGTAGCTACCACGTCAATAGGAGCCAATGTACATGTATATCCGACAGCACCCACAGTAGCTACCACGTCAATAGGAGCCAATGTACATGTATATCCGACAGCACCACAGTAGCTACCACGTCAATAGGAGCCAATGTACATGTATATCCGACAGGCACCACAGTAGCTACCACGTCAATAGGAGCCAATGTACATGTATATCAGACAGCACCACAGTAGCTACCACGTCAATAGGAGCCAATGTACATGTATATCCGAATGCACCACAGTAGCTACCACGTCAATAGGAGCCAATGTACATGTATATCAGACAGCACCACAGTAGCGACCACGTCAATAGGAGCCAATGTACATGTATGTATCCGACAGCACCACAGTAGCTACCACGTCAATAGGAGCCAATGTACATGTATATCCGATAGCACCACAGTAGCACCACAGTCAATAGGAGCCAATGTACATGTATATCCGACAGCACCACAGTAGCTACCACGTCAATAGGAGCCAATGTACATGTATATCCGACAGCACCACAGTAGCTACCACGTCAATAGGAGCCAATGTACATGTATATATCCGACAGCACCACAGTAGCTACCACGCGTCAATAGGAGCCAATGTACATGTATATCCGACAGCACCACAGTAGCTACCACGTCAATAGGAGCCAATGTACATGTATATCCGACAGCAGCACAGTAGCTACCACGTCAATAGGAGCCAATGTACATGCATATCCGACAGCACCACAGTAGCTACCACGTCAATAGGAGCCAATGTACATGTATATCCGACAGCACCACAGTAGCTACCACGTCAATAGGAGCCAATGTACATGCATATCCGACAGCAGCACAGTAGCTACCACGTCAATAGGAGCCAATGTACATGTATATCCGACAGCACCACAGTAGTTACCACGTCAATAGGAGCCAATGTACATGTATATCCGACAGAAGTACAGTAGCTACCACGTCAATAGCAGCCAATGTACATGTATATCCTATAGCAATACAGTAGCTACCACGTCAATAGGAGCCAATGTACATGTGTATCCGACAGCAGCACAGTAGTTACCACGTCAATAGGAACCAATGTACATGTATATCCGATAGGAATACAGTAGCTACCACGTCAATAGGAGCCAATGTACATGTATATCCGACAGCACCACAGTAGCTACCACGTCAATAGGAGCCAATGTACATGTATATCCGATAGCAATACAGTAGCTACCACGTCAATAGGAGCCAATGTACATGTATATCCGATAGCAATACAGTAGCTACCACGTCAATAGGAGCCAATGTACATGTATATCCCAATAGCAATACAGTAGCTACCACGTCAATAGGAGCCAATGTACATGTATATACAGCGACGACACCACAGTAGCTACCACGTCAATAGTAGGAGCCAATGTACATGTATATCCGACAGCACCACAGTAGCTACCACGTCAATAGGAGCCCAATGTACATGTATATCATGTATAGCAATACAGTAGCTACCACGTCAATAGGAGCCAATGTACATGTATATCCGACAGCACCACAGTAGCTACCACGTCAATAGGAGCCAATGTACATGTATATCCGATAGCACCACAGTAGCTACCACGTCAATAGGAGCCAATGTACATGTATATCCGACAGCAGCACAGTAGTTACCACGTCAATAGGAACCAATGTACATGTATATCCGATAGGAATACAGTAGCTACCACGTCAATAGGAGCCAATGTACATGTATATCCTATAGCAATACAGTAGCTACCGCGTCAATAGGTGCCAATGTACATGTATATCCGCACCACAGTAGCTACCACCACAGTATGCATATCCACCACGTCAATAGGAGCCAATGTACATGTATATCCGACAGCACCACAGTAGCTACCACGTCAATAGGAGCCAATGTACATGTATATCCGATAGCACCACAATACATGCCTACCACGTCAATAGGAGCCAATGTACATGCATATCCGATAGCACCACAGTAGCTACCACGTCAATAGGAGCCAATGTACATGTATATCCGCCACCACACCACAGTAGCTACCACAGTCAATAGGAGCCAATGTACATGTATATCCTATAGCAATACAGTAGCTACCATGCGTCAATAGGTGCCAATGTACATGTATATCCGACAGCACCACAGTAGCTACCACGTCAATAGGAGCCAATGTACATGCATATCCGACAGCACCACAGTAGCTACCACGTCAATAGGAGCCAATGTACTATGTACATATACCCGATGCTATACAGTAGCAATAGCCAATGTACATGCATATCCGACAGCACCACAGTAGCTACCATCACGCCAATAGGAGCCAATGTACATGCATATCCAATAGTGCCAATGTACACCACAGTAGCTACCACGTCAATAGGAGCCAATGTACATGTATATCCGATAGCAATACAGTAGCCACAGTAGCTACGTCAATAGGAGCCAATGTACATCCGACAGCCATATCCGATAGCACCACAGTAGCTACCACGTCAATAGGAGCCAATGTACATGCATATATCGACATAGCAACACAGTAGCTACCACGTCAATAGGAGCCAATGTACATGTATATCCTATAGCAATACAGTAGCTACCACGTCAATAGGAGCCAATGTACATGTATATCCGACAGCACCACAGTAGCTACCACGTCAATAGGAGCCAATGTACATGTATATCCTATAGCAATACAGTAGCTACCACGTCAATAGGAGCCAATGTACATGCATATCCGACAGCACCACAGTAGCTACCGGGTCAATAGGAGCCAATGTACATGCATATCCGACAATAGAGCCAGCACAGTAGCTACCACGTCAATAGGAGCCAATGTACATGTATATCCTATAGCAATACAGTAGCTACCGCGTCAATAGGAGCCAATGTACATGTATATCCGACAGCACCACAGTAGCTACCACATCAATAGGAGCCAATGTACATGCATATCCGACAGCACCACAGTAGCTACCACGTCAATAGGAGCCAATGTACATGTATATCCTATAGCAATACAGTAGCTACCGCGTCAATAGGTGCCAATGTACATGTATATCCTATAGCAATACAGTAGCTACCACGACAATAGGAACCAATGTACATGTATATCCGACAGCACAGTAACTACGTCAACAGAAGCTAATGTACAATCAAGGTGAACAATTGCCAGATCGCAAACACAGGCGACGATGACAAATGATAACAGGTAGGAAGAATAAAAAGCCCAAGGATTATCTATTGTGGCAACTTCCCTTTGACAAACATGCACAGGAAACCTTAAAATATTGAGTATTTAGTTGATGGATTTGATGTTAAAAACAGGTCATGACATTTTAAGAGTCTATTTCCAAATGTTCAATTCCAATGAAAACACATCAATACTGTCAATAATTGTCCATTACGTTTTTCAAAATACTATCCAATATTGACAATCCAGTGACGGATCATAAAGATCCTTTGAACCCCTTGGTCAGAACATTGTTCTTTCCTGTAGGTTATTGGCGATTATGAGGGACAGATGTTCAATTAGTCTTGTTGGTAGTTAACTGGATTAGGGTATTGATGAAACCAGCAACGATCAGTGTTTCTCTTTGTTATTAGCTTTGAACCAATCAACGAAATGTAGGTGTGTTGAACTATGGGCAACTGCTGACAATCATTGCAATCGCTTATCGAAGAACAGAACAATCCGACATCTTTACTCCAAAGATCATTTTAGAGTACACTCGTGGTTTTAGGGGACGGTAAGTCTTCTACATGCAAATGTAGACATATGTTGACAACTACCATCCTACAAAATCGAAGTACCCTTTTCGTTTGTAAAAAGTACATATATTTCTAAAGTCTGTGGAAGCTGCACGCCCTCCAGGCGTACTTGTTTATACTTTGATTATGGATTGCCAGTTATGACAGAACTGGTCCATACTCCCATTTTAGCTGTTTCAGGTCTCGTTGCTATTCTCAGAGTAATGTCACAAAAATATACATATTCAATATATCGGTCAAAGACTAAGAGTCATAAACGTGAAGATTGATATTACCCGCGTTTGTATGGCACGGATGATTATTTGTGTAAGAACTTGTGGCACAAACTTCATCCATTTATTTGGTAAAGTGTCCTCTTAGAATAATGGAATTTGGGTAAGACTCACATAGCTGATTTTGAACATAAATACATGTATGTGAAGCTTTTAATGGAAATGAAGCTATTGAGGTGTACGTTTACCATACCATGACGTTGCATTTGATCACTGTGACATTTCACACAAATAAATTAACACTATGTGATGCAGGTACAGACGGAAGCTAATTTTTGGAGGTGGTTTAATGCCGCACTCAGAAATATTCCACCTATATGGTGGCGGTCTGACAATAATCGAGTCTGGACCAGACAATCCAGTGATCAGCATCTTGAGCATCGATCTACACAATTGGGGTACGATGAACTGTGTCAACCAAGTCAGTGAGCATAACCACTCAAGGCCCTTTGTCTCCTCTTACGACAAGACCACTGGTCCACCATTGGGCAGCTCTTCAAGTAGAAAGGCAATCAACCCAAGTTGGATGTGGTGTCATCCAACATAGTGGACACTTCAGATATTGACTCTTTGAATACCATTTCATTAGTTCCCTTATCAGTTCTCTCCAGAGACCATATTCTTTATGTACCTGTATACGATCTCTGGGTCTGTCGTTTCTATTGTTTTAAATACTTCCATCATTACATTCTCCAGTCACACATCCTGGGGGAAACATAACAACATCTGTGTAGCTAATTCAATATACATTTAATGAAAATTCTGGTGTATTTTCCCAATCATCATTGTGTTGTACCTGGATAAAATAGTATGGTCAACCATTTATACACAAAATACTAAGTTCAAATGGGTCTCATGTACAAGTCATCAACAAGGTGGCTACAGTTTGAGCAGAATATCTCGCAGAACGCCCATATTCATTACCACCAGCCAGTCTTGATTTGATGGTTTTGCTCTTACAAGCAATGCTGCCATAAGGAGAAATTGAAAGCAGTGAACTGATCACTCTCTACACCGTTAGCAATCTAAATGTCAGTAATTTTATAGTTTCAACACTAAGTTTCTCCAACAATTGTGCAAACGTTGAAGAAGCTGCGATGCTGCACATGCTGGACCTGCGTCCTTGCTGTGAGACCCACAGATGGACCTTCACCCATCAGCTCAACTTAGTCTGTGCTGAAGGCAAAACACATGGTTGATCATTCAAAACATTCATGTTATTCATCATTTGTTATTGTTAAGATAACTGTTTTTTATAGATCCCAATCAACCCCATTTTACTGTGGGTTACAGCCTGCAAGTATTAATATCTGTGCATGTTCTGCCTACCCCACGGTGTACTGATTGCCTTGTACTGACAGTATACAAGTGTCTTGACAAACAGACCATAGTGATTAACCCCCTGGACAAGCTGACATGGAATGATGTCACGTGTTGGACGACACAACAACTGTATTCAAACATCTAACTTGAAGTTTGCAGGTATTACATATGATCTCTTACGATAAACTGACATGCAGTTTGATTGACATGATGTATGACAGTCACCTTCAATGGTTCTGCTATTCTATCAGAGCTTGGGGTAATCTGCCAGTACAGCCTGTGCAGCCAGTCTTCCAGGAGAACCCATCACACCACCTCCTGCAGACATGGGAATACAAATAGGGAGGTGAGGTGAAATGGGGTTTAACATCGTACTCAAGAATATTTTGCTCATATGACGCATGCATGCGTGTGTATGTGTGGCTGCCTGTACTAGCCCAGACTTGAGCTGGTGTAATAGTGCTAGCAGGTCACTGAGATACCATGCCGCAGTTAAGCATGAATGCCCAACTCAGACACATCATACCGGTACTGACTCTGAGCTGACCAGACCTTGTTTTACCCATAAATGCTGAGCGCCAGGCAGGGAACAACAAGTAAACCTTTTGGTATGATGTGGTCGAGGATCCATCCCGCAACCCTCCGGTCAACTCTCTGGGTGGACACTCTAACCACTACACCATGGAGGTGGTCAGAATTACAAATAACACCACCTCCTGCAGCCAGGAGAATACAAATAACACCACCTCCTGCAGCCAGGAGAATACAAATAAAACCACCTCCAGCAGCCAGGAGAATACAAATAAAACCACCTCGGGCAGCCAGGAGAATACAAATAACACCACCTCCTGCAGCCAGGAGAATACAAATAACACCACCTCCTGCAGCCAGGAGAATACAAATAACACCATCCACCTCCTGCAGCCAGGAGAATACAAATAACACCATTGTAGTAATGTAACACGTAACGCTCCCTTAACTACCGGAGGTAAACAACTCCTCCCTGTGTACCCCAATGCATGATGGGACCAATGCATGAAGTTTGTATGCTTCAGCAGACCGAAATAAAGCCGCTGTTCTCCAAGTCGTGTCGTGTGCTTTTCAAAGGATGTTAGTCACGATACTACATTTTGGCGACGAGGATACAAGGTTATAAGGCTGTGGAATTTCGCATCCCGGTGCGAGAAAAACTCATCAGGAAATCTCCCGGGACCCTGATTGAAGAGAACGGAAAGCAAGTAAGTGAAAATCAAGCAAAATGGCGGCGTTTGGGAAAGTAGAGGAATTTGATCCCAATAGTGACGATTGGGGCGAATATACTGAGAGATTGGGACATTATTTCACTGCAAATAGTATTGAAGATGTTGTAAAGCAAAGAGCAATTCTTTTGAGTGTGATTGGAAGTAAATCTTATCAACTTTTGAGGAATCTGACCATACCGTCGAAACCGGGCGATCTCTCTTACGAGGCAATAGTCAAGTTAAAGAAGAATCACATTAGTCCAAAGCGAACTGTCATGGTGGAGCGGGCGACGGCTTCAATATGAGAGACAGACTGCAGAATGAGAGTGTTTAGATTATAAAAACTTACGAGCGGAACTGAGGCGCCTTTGCGTCGACATGTGATTATCCAGATATTGAGGCACAACTCAGAGACAGGTTGGTGTGTGGAATCAATAATGATCAAATGCAAAAGAGGCTTTTGACAGAAAAGACTTTAGATTATAATAAAGCCTATGCACTTTGTGTTGGAATGGAAATGGCAGCTAAAGAAGTTCAAACCATTAAAGAAGAAACTCAAACACCTAGGACTGTGAATAAAACTTTTGTGCTTGGTGAAGGTCGGTCGGCAAAGTGTGACCGGTGTGGAGGCATGTTTCACACAGGGTCACAGTGTTTCTATAGGAACAGTGACTGTCACAGGTGTGGAAGACGTGGTCACCTTTCGAGAGTTTGTCATTCTACACCGAATTACCCGTCACATCAGCGTGGGCATGGGTTTAGAGGTAATCGTCGAGGTAGGGGACGTGGTCATGGTCAGCGTGGTCATTTCAGTGGCAAGGGAAGAGGAGTTCATGCTCATCACATTGAAGAGAAGCCAGTTGAGGAAAAAGTTGAATATGAAATGTACAGAACTGAATGCAATCCAGACAGGAGACGATCAGTTAGAGCAGAACCCTACATGATCGAGGTAACTGTTAATGGGAAAAAGGTAACCTTAGAATTGGATACAGGGGCAGCTACCACGGTGATCAACGAACGAACATACAACTCACTATGGAAGGAAAAGCCAGCTCTGAGAGAGGCAAGGGAAATTCTGAGGAGTTATAATAGGGAAACAATTCCAGTTCTTGGAATCACTGAAGTGGAAGTCTGCTATGGGGGTCAAACTGCAAGGTTACCCTTGACTGTTGTTGAAGGAGATAGAGAGAATCTCTTAGGCCGAGACTGGTTACAAGTGATCAAGATAGACTGGGGGAGAATCATGAACATAAGGAATGAAGGTTTGCAGGACATTATAAAAACACATGAAGAAGTCTTTCAAGAAGATTTGGGAGAACTCAAGGGACAGACAGTGCAGATTCAGATAACAGCAGATGTGCCAAGATTTTACAAACATAGGAATGTGGCCTACGCATTGAGAGAAAAGGTAGAAAATGAACTTGATAGGTTGGAAAAGCAAGGAGTTATAAGACCTGTGCAGTTCTCAAAGTGGGCGGCACCTATTGTGCCCGTTGTCAAGAACACTGGCAGAGTGAGACTATGTGGAGATTACAAACTAACTGTGAACAGAGTTGCGCAGGTAGATGTGTACCCAATACCCCGTATTGAAGATTTGTTTGCTTCACTATCAGGTGGTCAGAGTTTTACCAAACTTGACCTCAGTCAGGCATATCAGCAGTTGACGTTAGATGAAGAATCCAAGGAGCTCACAACTATAAACACTCACCGTGGACTGTACCAGTATCAACGTTTACCGTTTGGGATCTCTGCCGCTCCGGCTATTTTTCAGCGTACAATCAAGTGTTTGTTGAAGGGCATTCCTCACGTCTGCGTTTACCTTGATGACATCCTGGTGACTGGAGACACTGAAAGTGAACATCTGGACAACATACGAGCTGTCCTAGACAGATTGAAGAAGGCTGGACTGCGACTCAACGGTCAGAAGTGCAAGTTTTTGGTCAAATCAGTGGAATATCTAGGACACCGAATCGACAAGGATGGGTTACATCCCCTGAATGAGAAGGTCGAAGCAGTTGTGTCGGCTCCAGCACTGCGTAACGTCAGTGAACTGAAATCTTTCTTAGGCTTGGTACAATATTACCAACGTTTTCTCCCAAACCTGTCCACAACATTGGCTCCCCTGCATCATCTCCTCGGAAAAGAAGTAAAATGGAAGTGGGAAAACCGAGAAGAGACAGCTTTCAACAAAGTGAAAGACCACTTGTCATCGTGTAAGCTTCTTACACATTATGACCAAAAAAAGAAGCTTCTGCTAGCCTGTGATGCCTCTCCATATGGCATAGGAGCGGTTCTGTCGCACATCATGGAAGGCGGGATTGAGCGACCTGTAAGCATTTGCCTCTCGATCCTTGTCTCAAGCTGAGAAGAATTATTCTCAACTAGACCGTGAAGCTCTGGCAATCATTTTTGGAACAAAGAAATTCCATCAATATATATATGGAAGAACGTTCACACAAGTGTCTGACCACAAACCTCTTGAGAGCATTTTCAGTCCAGACAAGGCTATCTCACCAATGGCATCTAGCAGAATTCAACGCTGGGCTCTGACTTTATCAGTGTACAGCTACACCATTGAGTACAGGAAAGGAACCATATTAGCAAATGCAGACTGCATGAGTCGCCTTCCCTTGTCGAGGTCCATTTGTGATCCACCGCTACCTGGAGACACAATTCTGCTGTTGGAGAGTTTGGAAGCATCCCCAGTGAAGACACATCAGATCAAGCAGTGGACAGACAGAGACAGCACACTATCTCGTGTCAGATCACTTCTACTGTGTGGCTGGACTTATGAAATCACCTTAGGAGAAGAATTTCGTCCTTATGAGAAGAGGAAGAATGAACTGAGTGTACAATCTGAATGTATACTTTGGGGAAATCGTATTGTTGTGCCACCCCAGGGGCGACAACGAGTGATGGACACTCTACATGAAGCTCACCCAGGCATAACACATATGAAGTCGGTAGCACGCGGAATGGTGTGGTGGCCGAATATGGATCTTGATTTGGAAGAAAAGGTCAAGACATGTGAAATCTGTCAGCAGAGTCGTCCAGTTCCTCCCGAATCGACACTACATCCTTGGGAATGGCCAGAGAAACCATGGAGTCGTCTACACTTAGACTATGCAGGCCCATTCCTGGGAAAGATGTTCCTTGTTTGCATAGATGCTCATTCGAAGTGGTTAGAAGTTGTTCCACTTAACAGTTCGACATCAACTGTAACCATTGAGTGTCTGAGACGGATGTTTGCTACTCATGGGCTACCGGAGACAGTTGTCACAGATAATGGGACTTGTTTCACAAGTGACGAGTTCACAGTCTTCATGAAGATGAATGGTATCCACCACCTCTGTGTAGCACCTTATCATCCAGCATCGAATGGCTTAGCAGAAAGGGCTGTTCAAACATTCAAGAATGGAATGAAGAGAATGACAGTAGGCAACATCGAGACAAGAATCTCCCGTTTTTTGTTCAAGTACAGAATAACCCCACAAACTACGACCGGAGTCTCACCAGCTGAGCTACTGTTGGGAAGAAGACCAAGAACGCACTTGGATCTACTACACCCAGATATGAGTCGGCGAGTGCAACAGAAGCAAGAAAAGCAGAAAATAACCCATGATGTTCATGCCAAGCATCGTGAGATTCAAGTTGGTGATCTTGTGTATGTGTTAAATTTCCGCCCTGGTGGAAAGTGGTTACCTGGTGTTGCCGTAGAGCAAACAGGTCCTGTGTCATATAAAATCCGCCTAACAGAGGGTGGTGTTGTGCGTCGTCATCTCGACCATGTGAGGTTGAGATGGGAGATGAGTTGCGAGACGAAAGGAAGTGTGGTAAAGTCTGATGTGCCAAATTTTACAGAGGTGATAACCCCTCTTGTGCCAAATCAATCTCAACCTGTGATGTCAGCCTTAGGTGATGATTCAATATCTAGGCCTGACCCGAAGGCCACACCAGAAGTTGAAACCCAGGTAGATAGTCAGCAGATCCCCAAATCTACTATGACTGGGCTGTCGGTGTCTGAGGGACTGCGTCGCTCAAGCCGTGTGACCAGAGCACCAGATAGACTAAATCTAAAGACTGAACTTGTTTAAAGGGAAGTGTATTGAACTCTAAAGTTACAAGTCATCATTGTAGTTTCAAGTACTACATATTCACATAATGTGGACTGGAAACAGTATTAGTCTTAGAGACATGTCAGAAGTAACAACAGTGTTCAGATACATTTACATTGATTGAGATCAGCATATGTAAACTAGTTTTCATGCAGCTGAATGAATCAGAAGTGAAGTCTCAAGTTTCTACAGTTTAGTTTAAGTAGTTGTTTAAGTTACAATTGTCTGAGGTTATCATTAATAATGTAATTGCATCAGTAAGGTAACAGTAAAATGACCTTGACGAAATAAGAGCATGTACTTGCTTTCACTTATAAGAATATATATGATAATCTCAGGATAAGTATGTTAATGTTTTCAAGATTATTAATCACAAGTATTGTTGAGATTTTGTTTATGAAAACAAAAAATCTGGAGGGGAGAGGTGTAGTAATGTAACACGTAACGCTCCCTTAACTACCGGAGGTAAACAACTCCTCCCTGTGTACCCCAATGCATGATGGGACCATACGTCATGATGGGATCATACGTCATCGGGCCACGCGCTTCCCGCCCAAGTTTGTATGCTTCAGCAGACCGAAATAAAGCCGCTGTTCTCCAAGTCGTGTCGTGTGCTTTTCAAAGGATGTTAGTCACGATACCACAACCATCCACCTCCTGCAGCCAGGAGAATACAAATAACACCACCTCCTGCAGCCAGGAGAATACAAATAACACCATCCACCTCCTGCAGCCAGGAGAATACAAATAACACCACCTCCTGCAGCCAGGAGAATACAAATAAAACCACCTCCTGCAGCCAGGAGAATACAAATAACACCATCCACCTCCTGCAGCCAGGAGAATACAAATAACACCACCTCCTGCAGCCAGGAGAATACAAATAACAGTTTCCAGAGGACACAATTGGTAAATGTGTCTTCCACTTTGTTTTGCAGTAAAGGCATGGTGAACCAGCTCAAGATGTGCTACAGTTAATAACACTAGTCTACAAACAGGTACAATGATAACAAAATCAAGATCAAAATAAGGAGAGAACCAGTCTGTCAACACACCACATACCAATACAAACATCAGAAGGAATGCTAACCACGCTCTGCTACCATAAACGTTGTGAAGGTTTTGTGGAAGCATACTGTAAAAACTAATTAACACCATCTTCTACATTACTGAAAAACATACATTCACACAGACACAAACACAGAAACAAAGAGAAAGGGTAACTTACTAAAAACACACACATGCACATACACATACACTCTCTTAGAACAATCTTACAAGATATACACACATACGTGGAATGTTTTCACACTACCTGGATGTGCTCCGCTACCACAGAGATACAGGCCTCTGATTGGGCACCGATAGTTGGAAAGGGCAGGAATTGGTCGACTAAGATACAGCTGGTCCAATGACATTGCCCCATGAAAAATATTCTGAAAAATAACACAACAGTACCAAACATGTTACACCATTAAACTTCCAATAGTGCAAACACTGTGTCAAAGCACTGAGTGTCAACAATATTGAGACTTCAGGTTAAAACAGGTTCACAATAGCCTCAGCCTGTTGTAAGAGATATGAAAACAGTTGATCTTATCTAAATGAGGACTGTTACTTGACACAACACCTCCCAGCAAGGAGGAGTGACATCACTGTAGCTCAGGTAAGGTGGACCCTGAGCAAACTTTGACCACTCAGTCTAAATCATGGATAGGTAGGCTCCAATCAGATGTCCGCTTTCCTAAGTGATTAGGCTTCATTTCATTAAAACTCATAAGTTTTGATTTGGTCTGTTGTTTTACACCGCACTCAGCAATATTCCAGCTATATGGCAGCGGTCTGTAAATAATCGAGTCTGGACCAGACAATCCAGTGATCAACAACATCAGCATCAATATACACAACATGTGTCAACCATACCAGATCAGTGAGTCTGACCATCAGATCCTGTTATGAGATCGCCTCTTACAACAAGCATGGGTTACTGAAGACCAATTCTACAAGCATGGGTTACTGAAGACCAATTCTAACCTGCATCTTTATGGGTGAAACTTATACATATACCAGAGTGATGAAAGTGTAACATTTTCTTTTGTAACATCACCCAGTCAGTGTTGAGTTTAAACAGTGCGTGTCTTACCCCACCACTCAGGCCAAAGATGTCTTCCAGGTCTGGTGGTGTCAGTATGTCTCTCCCAATGACACTCTCCTTGAACCCTGGGGTATACTTTTCTATACTGTCAAACACTGAAAACATTCAAGCAGCCAAATCTCATTTGAGGTTCTTTAATACTGTGTTTCAGCATTATGGAGAACAAGTCATATCAGATTTACCTACAAATTGGAGGGGACCACAGATTTACCTGTATGAACATTGGGTCCAAGTTTCACCTGTATCAATGTCCATTCCCTGGTATACCTGTATCAATGTGATGATCCAAAATTTACCTGTCAGTGTAGTGGTCACAGTCTCACCTGTTTACAACTAACGGTCCCATGTTGGGTTGCCTGAATTTAATAATGAAAATAGTGCATAATTATAATGTGCACATATCCCCACTATGAAGCATGCTCAGGGGGCTAACACATTATTACCCCTGATAACCCAAGCTGCTTGTGAGGTGCTAGAAGGTTAACAGTCATATGACCTATCTCACCAGGTACCCATTTTCTGCTGGGTTAACAGAGGCAATTTTGAACAAACTCACTTGCCTAGGGTGAGATGACATGTATCGCATGTGCTTCGTTGAAGGGCAGGACTAAAGTCCTAGAAACTCTCAAGAGTCAAGCTGCCAAACATGGTCACCCATCAAAGGACTCTCTGCACCCAACGTTGCATAACTTCACCTGATTTGTGACCTGAGCTCTATGCACAGGACCATGGACCACCATATTTACCTGTATTAATGTCAAGGTCCAGTAAGTATAAGTGAAGGGTCATAGATTTACCTGTGTGGTTTGCTTTGGTTTGGTTGTTGTTTAAAGCCACACTCAGCAATATTCCAGCTAAATGACGGCGGTCAGTAAATAATCAAGTCTGGCCCAGACAATCCAGAGATCAACAGCATGAGCATCGATCTACGCAATTGGGAATGACATGTGTCAACCACAATGACATGTGTCAACCAAGTCAGCGAGTCTGACCACCCGATCCTGTTAGTTGCCTCTTACGACAAGCATGGGTTACTGAAGATCAATTCTAACCCAGATCTTCATGGGTCTTTACCTGTGTGAATGTACCTGTCAAGAGTTGGGTCCAGAGAAAGAGAAAGGTGTGTTTACCTATATCAGCATACTGGTTCCTGGTAGTGTTGTCCCAGGGCCGGCCCCCAGCTAGGGTGTAGGGGGTGTACTGTGTAAACAGCAGGACCACGTGACTCCCAGGCGGGGCCAGGGTGGGGTCAAGGCTGGACGGGATCACCATCTCAATCACTGGGCTGCACAGTACAATAATTGATACCAGCAAACATGGAGAAAGTGTGTTGCAGGAGTTATTAAAACTGTAGCATTAACACGGCCATTTCCTGAAGGCCCTCATTGTGCTAGTATTATTAGAGTGAGTGAGTGAGTTTGGTTTTACGCCGCTTTTAGCAATATTCCAGCACTATCACGGCGGGGGACACCAGAAATGGGCTTAACACATTGTACCCATGTGGGGAATCGAACCCGGGTCTTCGGCATGACGAGCGAACGCCAGTATTATTAGAAGAGACTTGTGAAAATTCTCAATAAATTAAAAAAATCAAAACATAACGTTGCACTGCGCCTCTCCTATAGATATGGAGGGTGATCCCAAATCTGTAAACAATCCATTCTAATGTATTCAGGTTATTGATTGCAACAAAAACATCCCTTGATTTTTTAAAAGTTTAATATATGTAAATTGATGCACCTCTTTCAAAAACTAGAAAAAAGCCGTTTTCTAAATTTGAAACATATTTTGACCAATACTGCTCAAGTTATTAGTTGTCAAGTTCAAATTTGTAAAATAATTCTTGAAAACATTAAACTACCAAAACCAAAATTTGAACTTCACCTCTCGCTAAGAAGCTGGTCCCCAAATTTGAAAAACATCTCACCAATAGTATGCTAGTTATTGGTTAAAAAAAAAATGTCTTCGGACAGATGGACCTGTGGACCTTTATAGGTCAGAGGTATAATAAAATACTGAATGCATATCCTTTCTAAAGACATGGTACTTAGTGCTGAGAAAGTTCAAATCCTCTTTGAATAATGAAAGGATATGACTTTGACAGTGAAGCTGACCTTCAAAACCAGTCAAATGTTTAGAATAAATTCTTTCTGGTTTCACATACAGAATGTAAGCAATATGTATCCCCAGGCTGACTTAGGGTAACAGTGAAAATATGCTCCATAACACTCATTGACAGTGAGCTGATTCCGGTATCATTAGACAGTAAATAAAGGTGGAATCATTGGTGCAAACTTTCCTCTTCACAAGCCTTGCTGGTTCCCAGTGGACAGACAAAGGACAAGATGTTACAGTACCTTGCTGGCAACTCTCCTGCCTGACACTGCAGGTAGGCATCAGTGATGAGGCGGCTGTCCTCGCAGTTGATGTGAATTGTACAGTGGTGATGTGGCATCACACTGTTGTCACGGGTGTTGGGGTCAGCTAGGAAGTCTGGCAATCTGTCCACTGCAACTAATCACACAACAGCAGAAAAGGATCACCGTCACGTGTGTAAGACTTGCTGTATGTAGCAGACTAAATCATGTTGGCAGATTCTTCATGCTTCAAGTCAAATGTTGTCTTGTGTCCATGAATAAATAATACCTTTCAGAAAGTGGTCAAATGAAACAAATTTAACATTTTGGATTACACTTTCTTAGTAAAGTACAAATTCCAGTACTTCTTCAGCAAACAGAGTCTGCAATCGAACCATGATAGGACTAAATTGTGGTGTTCTTTAAGTAATGCTGGCCTGAAAGGTAGAATGTATTCAATTTTAAAAGCAATGTATACTAATGTGATAGCTTGTGTACGTTGTGCTGATGATAAGACTGATTTTTTCGACTGCCCCGTTGGCTTAAAACAAGGATGTGTTGTGAGTCCAATTCCAGTTTCCCTGTTTATCAACGAATTGTACTACGATATTATCGCAAATGGTAAGCATGGCATCCAAATATTTCCAGATCTCTTAGAACTTTTTATTCTTTTATTTGCTGATGATGTAATTCTTTTATCAGAATCTGTAGTTGGACTACAAACCCAGTTAAATATTTTGGAACGGTATACTAAAACATGGGATTTATCTGTTAACCTAGATAAAACTAATATTGTTATATTTAGAAAAGGTGGCCGGATATCTTCTAAAGAAAGGTGGTCCTTTAATGACCAACCTGTAATTGTCTCTGATCATTACACTTATCTTGGTATTAAGTTTACATCTGCTATGAACTGGAAAACATCTGTTACTGAATTATCATTGAAAGCTAAGAAAGCATTGATAAGTCTTTTATCTGCCTTGTGTAAAATTGGTGTGTTGGACCCAGTATTTACTTTAAACTATTTGATTGTCAAATTCAGCCTACTCTTTTGTATGGATCCGAGATTTGGGGATTCCAGAGATATGAATGCATAGAAAAAAATACATCTGATGGCCTGTAAGAAATTTTTAAATGTAGGACCCTCTACACCGAATTGTATGGTGTACGGTGAATGTTGGAGGTATCCCCTGTATATAAATGCTCATATTCGATGTATAAAATTCTGGTTTAAGATATTGTGTATGCAAGAACATAGATTACCCAAAAAGGCTTATAACATGCTTGTTCATTTGGACAACATTGGTAAAGTGACGTGGGCATCTTATGTAAGAAATCTTCTGTTTTCACATGGTTATGGTTTTGTATGGTTAAGTCAGTCAGTTGGTGATGCAAGCTTGTTTTTAACTCAGTTTCGAGAAAGAAGTCTTAATATGTTTAATCAAGAATGGTATTCAGTAATACATAATAGTTCACGGTACGACTCTTATAGAATATACAAATCACTACTCCAGCAGGAGAAATATCTGTCGTTTTTAACATCAAAGAAATTAAGATATCCATTTATACGTTTTAGGTTAGGTTTGATCAACATAATGGTAAACGAAGGAAGACGTTTTTTATATTGAACGATGCAAGAGAATGTGCCCACTGTGTAATATAGATGTGGAAAATGAAATCCATTTTTAACTTGTATGTCCTTTGTATAAAGATTTGCGTACGAAATATATAGCTGAATATTATCTATGTAAGCCACCTATATTAGCATTTAAACTACTTCTTTCATCAACTGACCAGCATGTAATAATAAAGCTGTCGTACTATATCAATTATGCTCTTATTAAACGTAACAATCTGATAAAAAGTGTTGTATGTCAATCGTATTTCACTACTTGTATATAATTTACTGCCTGTATCATGATTTGCTGTCTGGATCACTAATTACTACTTATGCACCATATGTATAATGTATATGTATAACTCCGATGTATATGGGCCGGAGGCCTTTTGTACAATAAACATCTTTGACTTGACTCAAGAATGTATAAATTTACAACTAGTTTTAGCAACATATGGCCTGGTTCTACAGTTGATTGGTTCAACAGAGCAGTTGTTTGTTTGATGGGCATTTTAGAAGTTGAGGTGATGAAGAATGTTGGCAATTTTTATGGATATACACTTCTTTTATTCTGTGAAAGGTGACGTTTCGACATAGATTTTAATGTTGTTGACATTATTTACTCACAAATGTGAAAGGGATTGGGACAAGTTATCCAACTTATAATACATGCTCCCTGATACTTACATACATGTATTTTCCATATCATACATCTCAGGAAGGAATAAAGAGAAAGTATAGGTAAGGTAAAGAGAGGAAACAACTTATGTGATCACTCAAAAACGTTTTGTTTGTACACATTCTGTTGAATAACCATATCTGCACTTCCAAGTAACACTACGGACAATGTGACTGGAGAGTCACATTTAACAATACTTTTCAAATTTAACATTAATGTCTCTCTTTGAATGTTAAACTGTTTACATTCTAATAGGAAGTTTTACCACAGTAACAAGAACCAGTATCTTTCATCTTGAAACGATACAAGTCATAGTTTAGTTGACTAGTCATATACCTCAACTTTGTCAGTATAATATTACATTTTTGTAATGCAGGCTAATTTTCTTATTTTTTCATAATCTTATAGTTGATGGAAAAATGAATCATACTAATGTCTTAACCTTGCAGAAGGTAAGATAATATTGTTAACATTCCGAAGGTTGTAAGTAAATCCTACATTATCTGGAGTTATACCTTTTAAGTATACAGGAGCTAAATCATTCTGAATTTATTAATACAGACAAAGCTTTCTTCTTTTCTTTGTTCGTCCAATGTTTCCCATCCACTCTCATAATATAGAATTTGTTGTAAGGTATATCTATGAAGACCCGTAACTATTCTGACAGCTTCTAACTGAAGTTTCTCTTAGTTTTCCTTCTGTTCTAATATGATACACTGCTACACATTCAACACAACATCAAGTTTCACACCACTAAGGCACACAAAGCTATGTCAAACCAACATTGACCATTGAACACTATGTAACTCGGTGTGTACACTTAGTAATAATATTGGACTGACCATTGATCTTTGTGACAGGCGACCTCACGTCCAGATGTTTGAGTTGATCAGTGAGGTGGTCAGGCAGGGTGGCCTGCAAAAAACACCTTCACCTAGACATATACATAGTTCATTTGGAACCTCATGAAACACCTTCACCTAGACATATACATAGTTCATTTGGAACCTCATGAAACACCTTCACCTAGACATATACATACATGTAGTTCATTTTGAACCTCATGAAACACCTTCACCTAGACATATACATAGTTCATTTTGAACCTCATGAAACACCTTCACCTAGACATATATATAGTTCATTTTGAACCTCATGAAACACCTTCACCTAGACATATACATAGTTCATTTGGAACCTCATGAAACACCTTCACCTAGACATATACATAGTTCATTTTGAACCTCATGAAACACCTTCACCTAGACATATACATAGTTCATTTTGAACCTTATGAAAATCAGTATGCAAATCTGAGTTAACAAACTATTGCTAACAAATTTATAGCAATTCACTGTTTGTTTTTTCCTAATATGTTTGTAAAATATTCACCATACCAAGACTTTCACTGATGCCGAAAAGGTGTACCCATGTTTTGTTTTTTCAAAAGACAGCTCCCAACATCTGACTGACTTGTTAATTTTAACAACTTAACGTGGCTTCCTTTCAGTTATGGAATATCTGGGTTCCAATTGTTCGACTGGAATTTTAGAAGTTGGTGAGTCAATAATGAAGCATGTACCACCTTATGGCTGACAACTTCTTGTTTATTGTACAGAGCGACATTACGGTGTAGATTCTTACACTGGTACTAATGTTGCTCTATGCAATAAACAAGAAGTTGTCAGCCATAAAGTTGTATGCTTCATTATCTGGGCTCCATTAAGAAAGGATGTTTACAATATGAAAAGTGCCTGATTTATCAATGCCATTTTTCAACAAAAGTGATCTATTGTAGCTTGTAGGGGCTCTTGTGACAGGTGAGCTATACATATTATGGCATTTCTGTTTGTCTCTTATTTCATTATTGAAATGGAAGGATGACTCACCGGCTTGACCAGGTCAAGGAATGTTACTGACGGGGTAGCGTTAGACAGCACCACCTTGCTCCTGATTTCAGTGCCATCGACCAGCACCACACCATGGCATCTCTCACCACTAGTCAGCACATTGCTCACAGGCTGCAGGCAACACAGTATCATACTAGTATACTCCAGTGGTCAGTGGTAGCATTGGTAATAATTTCCAGATTGATATTGGTTTGCAAATGAAATGGAATAACATTACAAACAAGAAGACAAAGTCATCAATATCCCCGCAATGGCAAAATACTCTTCATGAATATGTCTACTAGTTATGATTATGTCAAATGTATTGGTGTGTATATGGCAAAGTGGAAGGTGTGTATTGAAAAAAAATAAATTATTCAGAATTCCAAAACTACCAAAAGGCACAAGTATACCACCAGACCTATCTATGTGGAAAGTTTGGTAAAAAAATAGCGACCCTTTTCAAAGTATTGTCTGGAAAAGAGCACAACCACCAATTTCAAAGTCAAACGTGTTGCCATGGAAACGCAAAAAAAACCATTTTACACAGAAATCCCAAACTACCAAAAGGCACCAGTACACCACCAGATCTATCTATGTGCCAAGTTTGGTGAAGAAGTAGTGAATGGTTTTGAAGTTCTGCTCCGGAAAAGATGAATGTGCATGAACGGATGGACGGACGCAAGCACGCATGGACAGAGCGCGTGCAAAACGTGTTGCGGGGGATAAAAACAATTACAAATTTCTCAATGATATTGTCTCCCATGCTTTGACATACAGAGACTGTCAATACTTTTCCTTAAAGGTCACATGCAACCAAAACATCAAACATAATTAAAACACAATTATCACTTATTCATGACATATAATATACATTGCTGGTTGTGAAAAAACATATAAACAAAATTATAAGCGTACAATCGCAAATCAAAAGTGCAATATTGTGTACTTGGGTTTACTTCCCAAGAAACGAAGCAGCCGGGATACCGAACCCAGTCAGAGCGGGTGGGTGTGCACTCAAGTGTAACGGCTGGTTCATTTGCAGATGCCCTCACGGCTCATTGTGTGTGTATATATAGAGATGTTGGGTTTTGTAAATACATGCTCATTTTTTGTGTATAACATTTTACAATCAACAGACATCATAACATGTCATGTGTTCAAGTATCACACCTGCCTGTCTGTGTAATTACATAATGTGACAGAGACCGAACTCGGGCTATAAATCAATGCATTTTGTTTATGGTGTATAGCCTGATTGGTGTTAAGTTCAAATTGCAGGTCAGTGATAGCAGCTGTGTATTGAATATTGTCATTAGCAGACAGGCAGCAGACACACAGGTGTCAATAAAACAAGACATTGAGTTTTGTCTGTGACAACCACATATCTATATCTCACTTAGAAATTCTAAATAATGACATTGCTTTCAAGTATCGAACTGACAAAGTGACTCGGTAAGAAGAACGTGTGGTGAAATAGACAAATGAAATTATACAAACAGTTAATTTACTGTCATAACATATAAAAAGCTCGCGCCTGTGAGATATCAACAAAACATTAGAAAAATAGCTCACACCAAAGCCTTCACCGGAGTATTCAACCCGCTTCCAAGCTGCGCGAACCTATTTCACTGCGCACGTGCTATGAGCGCAGCCCAGCTGTTGAAACCCGTTTTCCCCAGAAAATTCGGGGGAAAATTAGTGAAACGTTTGAACTCCGATTTCGCTCGTTTTTTTTCATCGCGTTATTTTTCAACTTTATAAGTTGAATTTGCATTTTTGACGATTTGTTTCGGTAAGAATCTGCAAAGTTGTGTTTTACGTTGCATGTGACCTTTAACAATATTACTTAGGACACTGATGTAAATGAATAATCAACAATGCATTGATAACAGCCAATCATGATTCATGTCACAGTTATCAATGGCCTGAGACACATCTCCCATCCCTCCCCTGGTCATCTCGACTCACTCTATCACAGAAGATGCTGGCACCATGGTCGGTGGCACAGTTATCTATGGCCCGAGACACACCTCCCATCCCTCCCCTGGTCATCTGTACTCACTCTGTCACAGAAGATGCTGGCACCATGGTCGGTGGCACAGTTGGCTATGGCCTGAGACACACCTCCCATCCCTCCCCTGGTCATATGCACTCACTCTATCACAGAAGATGCTGGCACCATGGTCAGTGGCACAGTTGGCTATGGCCTGAGACACACCTCCCATCCCTCCCCTGGTCATATGCACTCACTCTGTCACAGAAGATGCTGGCACCATGGTCGGTGGCACAGTTATCTATGGCCTGAGACACACCTCCCATCCCTCCCCTGGTCATCTGTACTCACTCTGTCACAGAAGATGCTGGCACCATGGTCGGTGGCACAGTTGGCTATGGCCTGAGACACACCTCCCATCCCTCCCCTGGTCATCTGTACTCACTCTATCACAGAAGATGCTGGCACCATGGTCGGTGGCACAGTTGGCTATGGCCTGAGACACACCTCCCATCCCTCCCCTAGTCATCTGTACTCACTCTGTCACAGAAGATGCTGGCACCATGGTCGGTGGCACAGTTATCTATGGCCTGAGACACACCTCCCATCCCTCCCTTGGTCATATGCACTCACTCTGTCACAGAAGATGCTGGCACCATGGTCGGTGGCACAGTTATCTATGGCCTGAGACACACCTCCCATCCCTCCCCTAGTCATCTGTACTCACTCTATCACAGAAGATGCTGGCACCATGGTCGGTGGCACAGTTATCTATGGCCTGAGACACACCTCCCATCCCTCCCCTGGTCATCTGTACTCACTCTGTCACAGAAGATGCTGGCACCATGGTCGGTGGCACAGTTATCTATGGCCTGAGACACACCTCCCATCCCTCCCCTGGTCATCTGTACTCACTCTGTCACAGAAGATGCTGGCACCATGGTCGGTGGCACAGTTATCTATGGCCTGAGACACACCTCCCATCCCTCCCTGGTCATCTGTACTCACTCTGTCACAGAAGATGCTGGCACCATGGTCGGTGGCACAGTTATCTATGGCCTGAGACACACCACCTCCCATCCCTCCCCTGGTCATCTGTACTCACTCTGTCACAGAAGATGCTGGCACCATGGTCGGTGGCACAGTTATCTATGGCCTGAGACACACCTCCCATCCCTCCCCTGGTCATCTGTACTCACTCTGTCACAGAAGATGCTGGCACCATGGTCGGTGGCACAGTTATCTATGGCCTGAGACACACCTCCCATCCCTCCCTGGTCATCTGTACTCACTCTGTCACAGAAGATGCTGGCACCATGGTTGGTGGCACAGTTATCTATGGCCTGAGACACACCTCCCATCCCTCCCCTGGTCATCTGTACTCACTCTGTCACAGAAGATGCTGGCACCATGGTCGGTGGCACAGTTATCTATGGCCTGAGACACACCTCCCATCCCTCCCCTGGTCATCTGTACTCACTCTGTCACAGAAGATGCTGGCACCATGGTCGGTGGCACAGTTATCTATGGCCTGAGACACACCTCCCATCCCTCCCCTGATCTGATCATCTGTACTCACTCTGTCACAGAAGATGCTGGCACCATGGTCGGTGGCACAGTTATCTATGGCCTGAGACACACCTCCCTCCCATCCCTCCCCACGTCATCTGTACTCACTCTGTCACAGAAGATGCTGGCACCATGGTCGGTGGCACAGTTATCTATGGCCTGAGACACACCTCCCATCCCTCCCCTGGTCATCTGTACTCACTCTGTCACAGAAGATGCTGGCACCATGGTCTGTGGCACAGTTATCTATGGCCTGAGACACACCTCCCATCCCTCCCTGGTCATCTGTACTCACTCTGTCACAGAAGATGCTGACACCATGGTCTGTGGCACAGTTGGCTATGGCCTGAGACACACCTCCCATCCCTCCCCTGGTCATCTGTACTCACTCTGTCACAGAAGATGCTGGCACCATGGTCGGTGGCACAGTTATCTATGGCCTGAGACACACCTCCCATCCCTCCCCTGGTCATCTGTACTCACTCTGTCACAGAAGATGCTGGCACCATGGTCGGTGGCACAGTTATCTATGGCCTGAGACACACCTCCCATCCCTCCCCTGATCTGATCATCTGTACTCACTCTGTCACAGAAGATGCTGGCACCATGGTCGGTGGCACAGTTATCTATGGCCTGAGACACACCTCCCATCCCTCCCCACGTCATCTGTACTCACTCTGTCAAAGAAGATGCCCGCACCATGGTCGGTGGCACAGTTATCTATGGCCTGAGACACACCTCCCATCCCTCCCCTGGTCATCTGTACTCACTCTGTCACAGAAGATGCTGGCACCATGGTTGGTGGCACAGTTATCTATGGCCTGAGACACACCTCCCATCCCTCCCCTGGTCATCTGTACTCACTCTGTCACAGAAGATGCTTGCACCATGGTCGGTGGCACAGTTATCTATGGCCTGAGACACACCTCCCATCCCTCCCCACGTCATCTGTACTCACTCTGTCACAGAAGATGCTGGCACCATGGTTGGTGGCACAGTTATCTATGGCCTGAGACACACCTCCCATCCCTCCCCTGGTCATCTGTACTCACTCTGTCACAGAAGATGCTGGCACCATGGTTGGTGGCACAGTTATCTATGGCCTGAGACACACCTCCCATCCCTCCCCTGGTCATCTGTACTCACTCTGTCACAGAAGATGCTTGCACCATGGTCGGTGGCACAGTTATCTATGGCCTGAGACACACCTCCCATCCCTCCCCACGTCATCTGTACTCACTCTGTCAGAGAAGATGCTGGCACCATGGTCGGTGGCACAGATATCTATGGCCTGAAACACACCTCCCATCCCTCCCCTGGTCATCTGTACTCACTCTATCAAAGAAGATGCTGGCACCATGGTCGGTGGCACAGTTATCTATGGCCCGAGACACACCTCCCATCCCTCCCCTGATCTGATCATCTGTACTCACTCTGTCACAGAAGATGCTGCCACCATGGTCGGTGGCACAGTTATCTATGGCCTGAGACACACCTCCCATCCCTCCCCACGTCATCTGTACTCACTCTGTCACAGAAGATGCTGACACCATGGTCTGTGGCACAG